TCCCTCCCTGCTAGCACACATGGAGTCCATCACCACAGCACTGGGCAGCACATCGCTCTCCAGCAGGGAGCTGGTGCCCATTCCCATGCTCCCTGTCCTGCAGGGCTCAGACACTGCCAGTATCAAAATACTGATACTTCCATTGATATCCCTCATTTCAGGGATCTCACAAGGATGCAGGTGCTGTGCCAAGCCCCATCCAAGCACCATGGGGGATGGAGCTGCCCCTGGACCAGCAGGGTGTTATAGCTGTGCACAGGGAAGGAGAATGGACTGTGTTCCCCATGGCTGGCCCAGGAGTTGGCTCCAGGCACATGTCCCTGACCCAGAGCAGCCACAGCAGGGAGGTGGCACCAGGACAGTCAGTCAGGCCATGTTTAAGAACTGAGAAAGGCAATGGGGAGGAGGAAATTTCTAGTGTGCTGTTTGCCAGCCCGGAATAGCACATGCAGGCTCCAAAGGCAGTTTTAAATGGCCCAAATTCCACCAGTCTTGCTGGAATCAGACTGGAAGGGAGGGCTGGAGCTGGTCCCTGCTTGGACAAGTCACACCAAGACCCAGGAAGGGGAATGGGGAGCTGGAGTGAGTGGTGTAGCTCACCTGGATGCATAGGACCTGCCCAATCCAGGAAGGGGAATGGGGAGCAGGAGTGAGTGGTGTAACTCACCTGGATGCATAGGACCTGCCCAGAACCTCTGCCTGCACCTCATCTCCCCAGGACTGGGGTGACCTCATGCTGCAGAAATTGAGTGGTGGGGAAATGAGAGACTCCTTTTTGCACTGAGTCAGGGTGTTTTCCTCTCAAAAGGCACCAGGAAGATGTTAGCAGTGGTGGTGACATCATTTCACAAACACCAGTCATCCCAGTGATGGCTGAGCTCGAGCCCCATTGAGTCCCCACACCAGCCTGGCAACTCCCTTCTGGGTCTCAGAGTCATTTGAAGGGTCACAGGTAAATAAATACGTGTCAAAAGCATATCAAATAGGGGTGTGTGCAAACTCTAGCCACAGTTCTCCCCAGCAGATTTGTCTATGTGCACTCAGAATGAGACATTTGGGTCCCTTTTTCAATTATAAGTAAATAGCACATTTTGCTCTCAGCAGAGCACAGCCCTGAAGGCAAACAGGGCTGGGGCTGATGGACCTGAGGGGAGCCACGTGAGGGTAGGTGACCAGGCACCCCATGGCCCTCCCAGGTCCTGCAGTGCTCAGACACTACGCGTTTAGCAGACACACCCCTTTGAGTGGGATTATCAGCA